ATGCTTTGCTCCAAATGAACAGGATTATATTGAGTAATCATTTTTTTCGCTTTTTTTTTTATTATTAAATTAGTGTATATACAGAAATAAGGTTTAAATCGACCACGTACAAATTTAAATCTTTAGCTTCCAATTGTAATTCACATTAAAAATGTCAAAACCCTTATTACCAAATACACCTATACGACAACGATTCCGTTACGGGTATATGAAGCAGCAACTGAAGAATCAACAGCTAAAACAACGAAAAGTATCATTCTCAAGTATCAATTATGTTGGCATGGCTTATGAAAATTATGATAGACATACCGCTTATCTTAATGGCAATAGTCAGATAAATGAAAAAACAAAAATATGGTTTACAGGTAGAACTAAAGCTAATACAAAATATAACAAAAATTTCCAAACAAGAGGCGAAAAAAACGACATTGTTGGGAACTATGATTGCTCAGAAGAATTATTTACATCGTTTAATTGATAAAAATATTCTTTAGCATGACTTTTATAAAGCTTCATATATATTACAAAATTATTTATTTGTAAAGTAGCAATTTAATATATTTGTGATTATAGAATATATCGACTTAAATCTAAATGTCAAAATTGAGTTTCATTCTTTATATTGTCTTTGATCTTCTTATATTTGTTCACATCTTTGCGAACGTGGAGAGTTGAGAGAAATCATGTGATAATCTTCTATTGCTTCTATTAACGTATATAAAGTAAGATTATAATGTAATAATATATATATAATGAAAATTAAAATTATGAAGTTGATCTATCTCTAAGATATCTTTTGTATGCACTATACACACGCGCTATTTCGTAAGAAGTCATCCAGCCCTTTGGTCAAAGCGTCAATAGCTTGAAATTAAAAGCAAGAATTTAAGTTACAATCTTATCATAAAAATGTGATTCTTTACAATTTTACTTACATCTTGGTATAAACTTTTTCGCATAGTTTGCTCAGAATGTCTCTCGGATTTTTCTTCAGCCTCTCTATTTATGTAGATAATGAAAATTTAATTAAATTCTTGTATATCACATCCAATAAGACAATTTGAAAGCATACTTACGCAAGACAATTACTCATTACAACCCAAGACATTTCTTCTTGAACTATTTGCCACAACAAAAATCTTGTATTTTCATCCCATCGAAATTTCTTGCCATTTGCCGTTTCTTTTGATCTATTGTTATTAGAACTACTATCAGATTTACTGTCAGATTTGATGTCACCATCAGCATCAGCATCAGCATCAGCGTCAGCATCAGCATCAGCATCAGCATCAGCATCAGCATCAACATCAGGCTCAATGTCCGCATCGCCATCAATTTCCATACTGGAATCTATTTCAATATTATTATCACTGTTAAGCGGTACTGATGATAAAGAAGAAAAAGATGCATTTCGCTCATCGAATTCTTGTAATAAAGAGGGCATGATTTCATCTATTGCAATTTTTAAACGATCAATTAATTCTAACTTTTTTTTTTGTAACTCTATCAAGGCTTTTGGGTATAAAGTTCTTTGACAAAGTCGCTATTATATAAAAAGGATAAACGATTATTAACGAAAACATGATATAAAGTGAAGTTTAGACTAATGAATGGTCTTGCATTTCGCAATACAAACCGTTATTGTGAATTTATTATATGGTAGCATGTTGGTTAACACTTTAAAAAGATTTTCGTTGAATTGATTAAGTTCATAAGCCCTCGAAAGAAGTTCCATTAAAGGAGGTTTAAGATTCTGTGGAAATCTGGACTTGACCTCAAAAGATTCTTTGTATTTGCAAAAGATTTCATTTAGTGAATTAATGACATTCAAGTCAAAAAACAATAAGTAAATTCAACCTTTGTCTACTTGTTGTTTGAAAAGATCTAAAAGATATTGAACATCTGGATGAACAGGTTCCTATGCAAATAAAATTACAATAAGTAAATAAAATAAATTACAACAAGAAAATAAAATACATATATTTGAAAAACAATACTTTAATACGCGAGACTTCAGGCTTACCACTGGATAAACTTTTTTCCTTTTTCCTGGAGGTTTATTAGGATCTGATGGATCCTGTTGATGCGCTGATGTATGAAGATTATTACTGCTCGCACCTACAGTGGAAATATCCATATTCTGTGTATTTGAACTAGGATCAATGACATGTAAATTATTCAAGGAATTGATTTCATTGTGGGCTCCTCCATTCACAGATGACGATTCTTGGTTGATATCACCAGCAGTTTTCGACTTCTTTGATACTCTCTTTTTTGGTGCAGCTGCCTTGCCTTTTCCATCACTACCACCTTCTGCTTTTTTGACAGTACGTGCCTTCCTAACTTTTGGTGTACCATCGGCTTCAGAGGATTTTTGCTTACGTTTTGCAGATGCTTTCTTCTTAGGCGTTGGCTCATCTCTAAAAAAATATAATTATAAACGTATTTTAGAATTTAATGATAATTTTAGTTTGCTTAGCAGAGTCGTTCTAAATAGTGGTACTTACTCATCAACCAATCTTTCTAAAACCAATGGTCCATTCCATACAAAAAACCCTTCGATTTGTGGACGTACTTTCCCGTAATCACGCTGTAATGGAGCCAATTCGCTGTCATCTATGAATGGATCATTCACATCGTATTGTTGTTCCTTCTTTATAATTCTTCTCTTTTTTTTACGAGTTTTTTCCTTACATTTATAAAATTTTAATAGAAATGTAAACCAATTATGAACATATAATTGCAACTTTTAAATTTGATTCAAACGGAATACCTCTTCACCCGCAGCATATTTTTCCGCGTTCTCCAAGATTTTTTCAAAGAATTCATCGCTTTCATCACGAAAAGTACGTGGCAAATCAATTGCTGTTGGGGGTGTTGGCGTTCGAAAATCGTCTGGAGTTTCGAAATCTGACCAATCTGATTGCGGTGATTCTGAACCCGGTGTTTCTGAGCCTGATATATAACGCGGAGGTGTTTTTGCAATTGTAAAGCCAGCTTCCTTTAATAGATCAGGAAAGTATACTACGTTGTTATATCGACTCGTCAAAGGAATATCAAGTCGAATTTCGGGTTGTTTCTCTGGTATTTTGGGTTCAATCTTTTCAACAGGTTCACGATTTTGGTGTTTTGACGCTGTCGAAGCCTGCTGGATTTCTAATGTGCTAATACCCTCAGCTAACTCTGTAGCATTACCGGCTTCAGCGTTTTCTGTAGTGTCGTCTTTATCAACGGCTACTTCCATTGGAATGACATAAAGTGGTAAAACTTGTGCACTCTTTACGTCAATTTTACAGTTTTAGTGTCACGATCAGCAAATTACATAATCTTTTTTTATTTTGAGATAAATAAACTTTTTAATATCAATATAACGTACATAACAGATAATGGTTGAAGTTCAAGAGGTATTTATGAAATTTCCAGCTAACTAATAGTTTTTAAAAACTAACAATATAAATATTAAGGTACCTGAAGACCATGAAGAAGATTTGTCAGAACCTTCAGATAATGAGTCAACTAGTTCTTTTGACTCAGATTCTTCTGAAGAACCTGAATCTCTTACAGAACGATTAGCAGCCTTACGCGATATTGTACCAGAAGAGACGCGTGAATCGATAGCAAATAATGTTTCATCTTTAGTGGGATTTGGCTTGAAAACTGCACGATTTCTGGG